GGCCCGCCCCTCCGTCGTGCAGACCGAGACCCAGAGGGGAGACCCGGGGTGGACCCCAGACCCTCGCTCCCGGTGCGGCGCCCTGGGCAGCTCCCCACGCCTGCAGGGCCACAGCCAGCCTGGCAGTGCCTGTGCCCCGTTGGCTCTCACAGTCGCGGGTCCCAAGTCCCTGAGTCTCCCCTGCTTTTGCCGACCTCGGACTTTAAGGTACGGAGTCACCTGGGGAACTGGGAAAATGCAGAGTCCTGGGCCCAGCGCCCAGACGCTCTGAGGTCGTGGGTTGTGGAGACGCCAGGAATCTGCCTGTCTTCTGACCCTCGTCCCCGGCGCGCTGGCGCACACACACGCACACACTTTGAGATAAACAACAACAGAAACTCTGAATTAATCTCTGACCTACTGTCCTAAAAATGGGTGCCCTGGTCGCAGGTGGTAGTAGGCAGAGGATGTGGACATGAGCCACATGAAGCTTGTTTTACTTTATTCCCTGCCGACCTGCCTACGCACACACGTGCACCATGGGTCCGTTCCATTCGTGACTAGGAAGGAAAGTCAAATGCTAGGTAGGTACCTGGCATTTAGAACTTCACTTTCTCTAATGTGGAAACTTCTCATTTGGAAGAAGGAGAGAGGAGGAAAAACCTGACCAGCTTTACGTATTTATGCTGTGATTGACTGGTTCTTGAGTTTCAGATTTGATTTAAGTTCTTTATTGTCAGTTAAGATCTTTTACAAGATTTTTAGGACAGTTTTGATACAGATGGAAGATGTGTCAATGTCTGCAGCTCTGTAAGTCGGTATTGAAAAATGTCTTTATCCATTTTCCTGTTTGCAGAAAGGATTGAAAAGAGGTTAGTGTAATTGTACCCGTATCAGTTACGTTAGGTTACTTAATGGTTGCAGGAAGGCTTCGTCCACGTAGCAGTGCAAATCATTGTACTAAAATACCTCTGAAAAACAAGTTTCTCTGGATTTTGAACTGCCATTTTATAAATGTAGTTGCAAATTGATATGACATGTGATGGAGAAAACCAGCAGTGGTGTTGGTTAATCCTGAAACAAGAATCCAGCCCCATGGAAGTAGGTAAAAGTGCTCCTGTAAAACCTTTGCTCCTGAACAGCTGGTGCCCAGCAGACCACTGATTTGGGTTCCAAAACCTTCTCTGTAAGTCTGCTGTTTGGAACTCTGACTTTTTTCGTATTTCATAATCTGTAAAGTGGTCTAGCCCAGGGCCAGGTCAGAAAAGCCTTTTCTACATGAGATTGTGTTATGTGCAGTTACAGTATTAATAATTTAGAGAACCTAACAACCTTCCTGAAGAGAAATGTTTTCTCGTTCCACCTGGGGATGCTTTTCTCAAGAGTAAGAGAACCACCTTCCCCTGGCACGTGCCCCCACCTTCTGTCCGGCAGTTCAGGGTGGGTGTGGCCCCAGGACCAAGCCCTGCCAGGGACTCTGATCAGCAAGTTACTTAAGCTCGCTGAGTCTTGTGCCTTGCAGAATTGTTCTGAGGATTTGAGAAGATGAATGTGAAAGGCTGCATGTAAGAGGCCTGGGACACAGTAGGAATTAAGTAACTAGTAGTTATAATTAATAATGATACAAATATGAATATCTAAATCATGAAACAGTGTATAAAAGATGTAAAAATAAGTCATCAAAATTCATGTCAATCCAAGCCCTCAGGATCGCTAATACTTTATTGTAGCTAACGGTTATTTTGGAAAAAATAAAAGAAATAGCTGAAATATATGATACAGAGAATCTGTAGGACTTTCAAGGTAAGGACACATCTTACTAAGTGGCCCCCATTTTTATTTGTAAGCAAAGTATGAAAATGCCAAAGGCACTGGTGTCAGCATTCAGGTGCTCACTTTGACTTTGCAAATTACCAGCAGAGTGACTGGGGCAAGTTACCTAAACTCTGTTGTTAGCAATGTTTACCAGAGGCCTGACTGCCATCTGAGAACCTTTGATGAGCTGGAGGACGGATACAACGCTCACTTCAATTATATTTATGTGGAAAATCATTCAATAACTTTTTTAAATAAAACTTTTTTCTTATGTTTGAAATTGATTTGCTTTTGTTCATGAAAGGCTCTCTGTCCTGTTTCCCCTACCTGGAGATTGACACAAGATTTTGGGAGCCTCTGTGATGATGGGGTACCTCTGATGGGATGACACACAGGACATTGGTGACGAGGTGCCAGGCACTTTTTCTTTCCTGGCAGCCTGGCTGGAGTCCCCTCACCATTTGGCTCCACGTTTTGCTCACTCTTGGCCCCACACTCCTGTGGAGCTGAACATACCTGTCCCCACGTGTGTCCCTCGCTCCCAGGCCTTTGATCATGCCCTTTCTTCTACTAGAAGTACCTCCCCACCACATTCTGTTTTCAGAATTTTCCCCGTCTTGGAAGTTCATCTTAAATGTTAGTTTTTCAGTCTTCTCCAGATACCTCTGCCCAACTCTGACAGGC